AAATTTCACACTGAAATAATCTAAAGCTTTGTGTCTGCTCTATACAATGTGTACCCGAGACAGTTTCTTTTTCTTTCCCTGTTTACTTCTTTCATTGAGCGCGCGCGCACACACACACATCTCAAAACATAGATTGTATTTTTATATTCTATATAGACTATATAATATATAGAATATACTTATTCTATATAGAATATCTTGATATATATCAATGAATGAGATAGTTTCTTGCAAGACCCAGTAACCACAGTAAAACCCAGTCTTTGTTTTAGGTAGAAATACTATCAATGGCTGTTTCTAAAACAGGCTTAGAACTGTCTGTGGGCAGTGTTAGGCACACGGTACCTGCACTTACGCACTTCAGGGTCTTGGGATGAGTCACAACCCCACAGCAGCCACGGGCTGGCTCAGCTTAGCTGCCCAGCCGGCCTCTGCAATAACGGCAGCACTGGGCTGCGACATTCATTCATCCATGCAAGCACGGTCTCTGGATCTGTCTGTCCGTCCTCCTGCCTGGCATTAGCTACCAAGCCAGTGCTTGGCATGGAGCTGTCCTCAGCGTTTCCTATGCTGGATGTGGTACACATATCCATGGTCCCAGCACTTCAAAGGTCGGGGGAGGAGAATCAGCTATATACAGTTTGAGGCTAGCCCAGGGCACATGAGACCCTTTCTCAAAAAAGAATAAAACCCAAGCGACCCACAAAACAAGCTCCCTCCAAATCAAACGAAAGTCTTAGTAAAACTGAGTAACAATGTCGATTGTCAGCGGATTCTTTCTTTAAAGAAAAAAAAAAGTTGATTCTGTCACCAGACATTTGCCAGGGAAGGGACAGCTTTTTTTACTGATGGCACACATGAATCTTTTACTTTAAATCTACAATCTCTAAATGAGATTTTTGAAACTAATTCTTTAGTAAGCAAACAAAATAGTGGCTACTGTTCTATTTCCATATATACCACTGTATAAAGGAGAACTTTTACAGACAGGATCTAGTTGTCATTTTCTTAATAACTTCTTTATAATATTCACAATGAGGTACTCAAATTTCAGGTTTATATGTGTGTGTTGCCTGCATGTATGTATATATAGTACATGCATTTCTGGTGTCCACTGAGGTCAGAAGAGGACATTAAATTCCCCAGAACTTGAGATACACATGTTTGGGGCCTACTCTGTGGGTGTGAGGAACTGAACCTGGGTCCTCTGAAAGAGCAGTAGCTGCTATTAACCACTGAGCCATCTCTCCAGCCAAGTACTCAATTTTTACGAAACTAAAATCATTAGTAGCAAAAGGCAGATCCAGCAAGATATCTTAGTGTATATAATTTTAACACTTTAGAGGCTGTGGTAAAAGGATTATGAATTCAAGACTACCTTGGGCCACAAAGGGAGTTCAAGGCCATCCTGGACTACAGGGAAAGATCCTTCCTCAAAAAGGGGAGAAGACAGTGGTATATAGATTTAATTCCAGCACTCATGAGGCAGAAGTAAAGGGGATCTCCGTGAACTTAAGGGCAGCGTGGTCTACAGAGTGAGTTCTAGACCAGCCTGGCTAACATAGTGGAACAGTCTCAAACTAAACCAAACCCAAAACAGCAAATAAATAACACATACATTAAAGTGTCTAGCCAGGTGGCGCTGGTGCATTCTGGAGACAGAGGCAGGCGGATCTCTGAGTTCGAGACCAGTCTGGTCTACAGCATGAGTTCCAGGACAGTCGGGGATACACAGAGAAACCCCGTCTCGAAAAACCAATAAAATAAAATAAATGAACAGAAATGAAGCGTCTAGAAAAGTTCCCAAGGTCTGTCCAATGCTCAGCAATATCACTGGGGAAAACAAGGCTCCTATATTGTTAGTAATTTGAATTAGCACCCACAGTTCCTAGGAATCACACATGGCACTGGAATGGTTTTAACTGTCAGCCTAAACAAATCCTGGGCTGGTAAGATGGTTCATGGGTAAAGTCTCTTTCTGCCAAGCCTGATGACCTGAGTTTGACCCCTGAGATGGATGGATGGTGGAAGGAGAGACTCCCACAGACTGTCTTCTGACCTCCACTTGAGGAACTCGGGGCCTCTCCACATGCTAAACCTAACAAATCTTCACAATTAGCTTCTCTAACAGTAGATTTAGTAGGATTTCTTCCTTCTTGGCTGAACTGTAATCCCCCAAATTTTGGCTAGCTGGGATGGGGTACACATGGGTTATGACTATGTAAAACCCAGGGCACGAAACAGCAATGAAATCCTAAGGTCAAGCGCCACGGCCTTTGCTGGTCACACAAGCAGGTCTGTGGTGACAGGAGGGCTGATTACACACTGGCTGAATACCAAGGCTGCTTCAGCACAATGCATGCTGGGACCATGTCTATATAAAGTTAAGGCACGCACAGGTGTTGAAGTAATAGGGGCGGCGGCCGCTTCCTGCCACCCGGCCGCCCACATGGCTAGCTTATGCCCCGAAATAATTACACGGAAAAACTGTATTCTTTTAAACAGTGCCTGTCCCAGCTAGTTCCAGCCTCTTATTGGCTAGCTCTTACATATTGACCTAACCCATTTCTAATAATCTGTGTAGCCCACGAGGTGGCTTACCAGGGAAGATCTTAACCTGCGGCTGTGTCGGGAGTGAGAATCATGGCGACTCCTGACTCAGCTTCTTTCTCCCAGCATTCTGTTCTGTGTACTCCACCCACCTAAGGGTGGGCCTATCAAATGGGCTAAGGCAGTCTCTTTATTACCAATGACCTTCCTCCATCACACAGGGTTTGCACACTGCTGGCAACCCTGCTGTCCAGTTCCAACAGTGGTCTCAGTCGTGGAAACTCTCTCTCCTAACAACCGCTGGGCTTTGTGTCCACGTGATAAAGAACAGATACGGGTTAGGTGGTATGGGATGCGACTAATACTAGCACGCGAGAGGCAGGAGGATTGCTAGGAGTTCTATGCAGGTCTGAACCACACATTGAGTTCAGGGCCAGCTTGGGTTATACAGCAAGATCCTATCTCAAAACAAATAAAACAAAGCAAAAGAAACAATAAAACTGTAAATATAAGACAACTTCACAAGTAAGGTTTCCATGGTGTGAGAAACTGGCTAATTTTAATGCCTATAGTTTTTCCCATCAAAGGGAGGTAAAACTCTCAGAAGATATTACATGCAAATTTAGATAATAAAGATCTACAAAGAGTATCTGAATTAATCTTAAAGTGGTAACTCAGAAGTAGGCACTCCTAAATGATTTGTAATGAATTTAAATGAAAACTCCTCATCCCCTTGGAACATGCGTGCAGCCTGGCCATTTCCTCCTGCTCCCCTCCACTGTGCAGGAGTAAGAGCCAGCACCTCAGGGTCACCTCCACACAGGACAGTTTAGCTTTGACACTCTATGTACTAAAGTTTGCTCTTAAGGAAAAAGAAAAAGAAAAAAAAGGAAATTCTGGGGCTGGAGAGATGACTTAGTGGTTAAGAGCACTCCCTAGCTTCTCTTCCAGAGGACCCAGGTTCAATTTCCAGCACCCACATGGCAGCTCCCAACTGTCTGTAATTCCAGTTCCAGGGGACTCCACACTTTCACACAGACACACACGCAGGTAAAACACCAATGCACATAAAATAAAAATAAATAAATCATTTTTTAAAAAAGTAAATTCAATCCCTGACTTCAAACTCTACTACAGAGCTACAGTACCGAAAACAGCTTGGTATTGGCATAAGAACAGACAGGAGGATCAATGGAACCGAATAGAAGACCCGGATATCAATCAACATCTTCGAACACCTGATATTTGATAAAGAAGCAAAATATATCAAATGAAAAAAAGAAAGCATATTTAACAAGTGGTGCTGGCATAACTGGATATCAACATGTAGAAGAATGAAAATAGACCCATATCTATGACCAGGCACAAAACTCAAGTCTAGATGGATCAAAGACCTCTACATAAAGCCAGCCACACTGAACCTTATAGAAGAGAAAGTGGGAAGTACACTTGAACACATTGGCACAGGGAACCACTTTCTAAACATAACCCAGCAGCACAGACACTGAGAGAAACAATTAGTAAATGGGACCTCCAGAAACTGAAAAGTTTCTGTAAAGCAAAGAAAACGGTCAACAAGACAAAACGACAGCCTATAGAATGGGAAAAGATCTTCACTAACTCCACATCAGACAGAGGGCTGATGTCCAAAATATACAAAGAACTGAAGAAATTGGACACCAAAAGAATACATAATCCAATAAAAAAATGGAGTACAGACCTAAACAGAGAACTCTCAACAGAGGAATCTAAAATGGCTGAAAGACACTTAAGGAAATGTTCAACATTCTTAGTCATCAGAGAAATGCAAACCAAAACAACTCTGAGATTCCATCTTACACCTGTAAGAATGGCCAAGATCAAAAACACTGATGACAACTTATGCTGGAGAGGTTGTAGGTTAAAGGGAACACTTCTGCATTGCTGGTGGGAATGCAAGCTGGTACAGCCCCTAAGGATGTCAGTGTGGCGATTTCTCAGAAAATTAGGAAACAACCTTTCAGTAATACCACTTTTGGGTATATAGCCAAAGGATGCTCAATTGTGCCACAAGGACATGTGCTCAACTATGTTCATAGCAGGCTTTTTTTTTTTTTTTTTGATTTTTCGAGACAGGGTTTCTCCGTAGTTTTTGGAACCTGTCCTGGAACTAGCTCTTGTAGACCAGGCTGGCCTCGAACTCACAGAGATCCGCCTGCCTCTGCCTCCCGAGTGCTGGGATTAAAGGCCAGCGCCACCACCGCCCGGCTTCATAGCAGGTTTGTTTGTCATAGCCAGAACCTGGAAACAACCTATATGCCCCTTTATCGGAGAATGGATAAGGAAAATTTGGGACATTTATACAATGGAGTACTACACGGCAGAAAAAAAATAACGACAGCTTTAATTTTGCAAGAAAATGGATGGAGCTAGAAAACATTATTTTGAGTGAGGTAACTCAGACACAGAAAAACAATTATTACATGTACTTACTCATAAGTGGTTTTTAAACATAAAGCAAAGAAAGCCAGCCTACAAACCACGATCCCAGAGAACTTAGACAACAATGAGGACACTAAGAGAGACTTACATAGATCTAATCTACATGGGAAGTAGAAAGTAGAAAAAGACAAGATCTCCTGAGTAAATTGGGGGCATGGGGACCTTGTGGGAGGAGAGGCAGGGAGGGGAGCAGAGAAAAATGTGGAACTCAATAACTATCAAAAAAAAGACATCTCTGGCTCTTGTCAGTCTGACCTAGTCACACCTGCTTTGTCACTGTCTTTTTTCCAGTCCAGCTCATTGAAATCAGCTGGTCACCAGACAGGCGGGGATGGTGTTGGGAGACAGAGACAGAGATATTAGAATATGAAGTCATGGACCAGGTCCACCTCGTTTTGTGTTGAGTCCCAGAACCTAAAAAAAAAAAAGTAAATTCATAGCCCGGTGGTGGTGGTGCATGCCTTTAATCACTTTAAGCACTTGGAGACAGAGGTAGGCGGATCTCTGTGAGCTCGGGGTCAGCCTGGTCTACAAGAGCTAGTTCCAGGACAGGTTCCAAAGCTACAGAGAAACCCGGACTCAAAAAACCAAAAGTAAATTCATGACATCTCTGCAGTCTATAAAGTTACTCAACAGGCTGGCACTACACTGGATGTTCTGAACATTTCAACACTAGGAAGACAAACGCACCTTCAATTCTGTGTTAGAGAGGCAGACAGAACTGTACCTAATGCACCGAAGACCTGAACGTTAAACTACCTATACAAACTGAAGAAAGTAACGCAAATGACATCCTAGATGTAATTCTTAATAAATAATTTTACTTCAAGAAAATCCAAACCATCTTTCAGTCTACCGCTAGGTTTAGTGGAGTAATCTTTCTTCTTGGGCAGACAGACCACAGGTTTGGTCTGCTGTAGGACGCTTTGGATACACGGTGCTTTTATTTGCACTGTAAAAAATAAACAGCTATCTTAGGTCTTTCTGGACAGTCAATAGGTTTGACTTACATTGCTTTGAGAGAAGACAAAAGACATCTCTTTACAACTGACTTGCAGCACCCTCAGTTTCGTGGATACCAAGACCACAAAATCTTAACTGTAACCTGAAAACATAAGCACGCACACATACAATATAAACGGGCAACAAAATAAATACGATAAAGTGACCTTGAAGTCTCTGAGGTGCCAATTTACAGACTGACCACCACAGACGGAACTTGGGCCTGCCACAGAGAAAAATCATAATTAGTCTGAAGAAAAAAAAATTAAGCTACCACTGTCACCACCGGGGGAAAAATGAAAATGGAAAACAATAATATCGTAAAACCTGTGTCTTGTAAAGATTTCTTCCCATCAGAGGTGCAGAAACATCCCCCCCCCCCACGGAGCAAATGAACTTGCTTGTTTTCTTCCCCGCTTTTCAGACCCCCTAGGCGCCGGCGTAGACCGCGAGTGTGGACTTTTTCCGGAGAGGAGAGGTAGAGATTTGTACTTTATCCGCAGCCGGTTGCACTTTTCCCCTTAGCTCCTCTCTGCTCGGCCTCCAAGATGGTAGGAAAGTTGTCGTTTCGGAGGGCAGAGGACCGCTGCGTGGTGTCATGTCCCCGCGGTGCCTGTAGTGGTGCTGTAGGAGGCTGCTGCCCCTGCCAGTGCAGCCGGGCAGCCCTGCCTTCTCGGCTGGAGAGTACATTCAGGGATTTCCCCCTAATGATCGCCGACCCAAAATAAAAATATGATCCTCACCCCTCTTGTTCGACAGGGAAAGGCTCCCGCTGAAGCCCAGGGCGAGAGCGGTAGCAGCCGAGCTTCCTAGTCCGCCGCCAGCGCCTCTCTGATCTGTCAGCGCAGTCGAGGGAAGGGCGGGGGAGAGGGGGGGGAGGAGGAGGAGAAAAAAAAAAACCAGAAAAAAAAAAAAGGCAGCTGAAAGGTAAGCAGAGGCGGCCCCAGGCCCGGCCCACATCCCCGGGCTCCCGTAGGGCGGCGGGCTGGGCCGCGCAGGCAGGGCGGGCGGCGAGCGCGCTTACGTGAGGCCGGGGATTCGCCGGCCCACGCCAGGCCGCGGGCGGAGAATGAAAGGGTGAGTGGGGCCGGCGCTAGGGTGGCAGGGGCCCGGGGACTGGGGGCCTCGGGGACGCCCGCGGGCGGCTACGGCGGGGATTCCGGCGGCGGACCGAGCGCGGCCTGCGCGGGCCGGGCCTGGGGAGCGCCGCGGAGGTGGGGGGAGGTGGGGGCGCCCTAGGCCTCGGGCCCCGCGGCGGCCGCGCCCTGCCCCCGCGCCACAGGCCTCCCGCGCCCCTGGGTCCCCCCGGGGCCTCGGGGCGGGAGGGCGGGCGGGCGGACGGCGGGGCGGGCTGCATCCTGCGCCGGCCCCAGGCTCTCCCGCGGGGCGGAAGGCCGGGCGGCGGGGACCCGGGCGGCAGAGTGTGCGGCCGCCCCCGGCCCCGAGCGTCGCGCAGGCGGACGGACGGGCCCGGGATCCCGGTAACTGAGGGGTTTATTTATCTCCCCCCCCCCCCTCGGCGGCGCTCCGGACGGCCTGGCCGGGGCGGGGCGGGCGGCCTGGCGGGCGTGGGGTGGAGGGGCGGCGAGAAGTCAGGTGCAGCCGCGGCCCGGAAAGTTTCCTTGTAGGCCCGGATTGGGGGTTGCTGCTCTCCGGGGAGCCCCGGTCCTAGCGCCGGGGACCCCCCCCCCCGAGGCCGTGCGGGAGAGCCCTCGGCTGGCCCGAAACTCTCCGCCAGTTCCCGTCCATTCGAGGTACTCCGCCCCTGCACCCCTCGCCCGCGCCCCACCCCACTCCCCGCGGTCCCCCCTCGGGGCTGCCAACTCCAGCCCGTTCCCCCACGAGCTCGCAGGCCCGGGGAGAAGCCTTCTCTTCCGGTTTGGAAAAGTTTTCCAGGGGTTTTTCGTAGCGTTGTTAGTTAGTGACTGGGCTTTGGGGGGGTGGGAAGGGAGGGAGGGAGGTTCAGGTGCTGTTTCCACTGCACAGTCTTTGCCCGCCGGCCTCCCCCACTTTTTGAAGTCCCGTACCCCACGGAACAGCCGTGGGGGTGTTACTTGTTCATTTATCACTCCCACCTTCCCCCCCTCCCCCCCGGACTCCTCTGGGTCTCCCAATGCCTCCTTTCTGGACAGCTCCGGGCAGAAGAGAGCAAACTGTCAGGGCGAGGGGGACCGAGGGGGACAGGCAGGCTTCGGAGCAGCCCCCGGCCCCCCAGTTGTAGGAGATTCCCCTTCTGATTTGGTCACCGTCCGGTAAAACCAACTCAGAAACTGAAGCCATGGGGGGGGGGCACCTCGCTGACAGGCGTTGCAGAGCATTCAAAATTGGGAGGAAGGAACTGGAGGGCAGGGCGGCTTTTGAAGCAAGGTCTACCTGCAGTTTAAGGAGCCGTGATTGGTTTGTTCTCATAGTAACTGTTTAGCCTCGTGTGATGCCCTTAGACGTCTGTCTACGATTAGAGAGAAGGGGGTTTTTAAGACACCGAAAGCTGTGGTTGCTCCAGCTCAGGGGTCTGCGGAGGAGCCCTGTGAACTGAACATAGACTTTGACTTTGGCCTACCCTATAAACGAACTCGGTTTTGGTTCTGGTTTTGGTGCCATCAACTCTGAAACTTTCTTTCCCTTCTTTTTTTCTTTCATGTAGTAAACTTAAATTTCAAAATCTAGATTTCCTACTTTTCAAGGATAGGCTGGGCTACAGCTGACCACCTTTCTGGTTGTTGTTTAGTGTTGAAATTGCAGCGTGCATGGCCCTGGCCACCCCCAGCCCCATCGTGGGCATGTGTGGCGAGTTCATTTGACCCCTTTATTAGTAGAGCTTGGGTCAGTGGTGTGTGTGTGTGTGTGTGTTTGCAGGTTGGAGATTGCTGGCAGAGGCAGTCCATGTTCTGATCACTCAGTGGTAGAGAAAAACTGCCTGTCAATTGTAGAAGCCCCGGGGTAATTCATGACTTGGTCTGACTTCTCTCAGGCATCACAGTGAGGCTCCTTACATGGTTCTTACCAAGGATCCTTGGCTTTTGTCTGGCTAAAACAGAGCTCTGTTTTCTCAGTGTTAGACGGCCAGCCATTTAGACTTGTGCCTATGAAAGTCTTGATATTTGAAGATGGAATGGATTTGGTATTAAAATGCAAATTACATGTAATGGTCGTTTTACGTTATTGATTAATTGAAATTGCTTATTGACTAGGGCATTTCATGTATGTGTATAGCAAAGCCATTATTCCTGTTATGGCCCTTACTTTTAGAGCAAACCGTATAGAAAAAAACTCATTCTCAGTCCCCCTTTCCCAGGATATTTTAAAAGTCGAAGGAAGTCTTACTATTTTGTAATATGTTTTTGTGTTCATTTGTTGTGCTGTTTGTTTTTCGAGACAGGGTGTCTCTGTAGTCCTAGAACTCCCTCTTAGACCCGACTGGCCTCAAACTGAGAGATCCATGTATTTGGTGCTTATCTTCAGCTTCGTATTCTTTAGACTTTCAGAAACTATATATGCACAAATACTGAAAGTTTGATGGTTCCCCCCCCCCCCTGCATCCTGTCCCAAACATTTTAATTCCTTGTTGTAACCCATTCATGGGCTGTTTTATTCCTAAAGAAATGGTTGATTTGTTGTCTTCAAAGTTAATTTTATTTCAAACTAATAAGAGACTTTCTGGGAACATGCTGAATTATTTTAATTGAAAAAGGACTGTCTTTTTCACTATGAGTTGTTTTGTTTAAAAAGTAGATGTTTAATTTATAACTCAACTTTTCTTTTCTCTGAAAGATTTCATAAAGAAATTTGAGGAACCCATCTCCATTTTTTTCTTTCCAGAAAATCATATTGCTGCTATTTTTAAAATTTTATTTTATTTTTGTGTTAGGGTGTTTTGCCTGCAGGTGTGCCTGTGCACCATGTGGGTGTTGTACTTGAGGAGGCCAGAAGAGGATGTCAGATCCCCTGGAACTGGAGTTCCAGTTGCTTGTGCTGAGGATGAACCCTGGGTCACCTGACAGAGCAACTCACGCTCTTGACTTCTGAGCCCTCAGTCTGGCTCCCATGGCTGCTAAGTTTAGAGGATAGAAAATTTGTATTTAGATAGACAGTCTGAAGTGTGAGCTCTTAAAAGTGTTAGTTTAGCCAAACACTTTCTTTCCCTTTCGCTAAGATCTTTTGGGCTAGCTCCCAGTATCTCAGTTTGGGGATTTTAGACAGCCTGGCCATTTGTGTCTAAAGACAGCTTCTTTCCGCACCTGATCCTTTGCAAAGCAGTAGGTGAGACTGGCTCAGGGCTGTAGAGTATGGTGAAGCCAGCTGTGTTCTCAAAGTGGCCCAAGAGTCGGCTTCTCACTGCGTCAGCCGTGAGCGTATTCCAGAGGCCCATGAAGGCTGGTTTTAGACAGTGCTCCTGGCCATTTTGAGATTTGGGAGAAACCTAAGTTAAAATGTTTTGCCTCCTGCTTCTCCTCCCCGATTTAAGGTGACAGACCACTTGATTCTAGTTCTTTCACATAATGTGATTTACCTTATTTATTTATATTTATTTTGGAGATAGGGTCTCACAACCTGACCCTTGCAGGCCCAGAGGAGCTCAGGTTCAAGGCCAGCCTGACTCTACAGCTAACACTCACCCATCCTCTCTGGAAGACCTCCTTCTTTGGTGGGCTCTGTGTATCCTGCCATCGTCCAGTTGTGTGTGGTTGGAGTGGGCTTTGTGTTGTGCTCTGCTCCGGTCCCGTTGCTTCTTAATCTTTGGTTTCTTTAACAGGACAGGGAAATAAAATTCCTTGCTATAAGGATTAGATGCTTTTTCTAGCCTACCCTATGTTCTTTAGTAACACCATCTAAGTAACATCTTGTTTGTTTGCTTTTTCCCTTACTAAAAATAGTACATACTCATACTAGATTTGGAGAGCAGCTCTATCCGTCCTGCTCAGGATGGTAGCATTTTAGTGCCTTCTGGTCCTGTGTGAGGTGCAGACAGCTTAAGCTTGGACCCCTGCAGGTAACAGTTACGTACTTTTGTATTGGCTCAAAGTTTGGGCTTTAGAATCGAATTGGCCTTTAATCCTAGTGATATGAAACCTTATAATTAAAATGAATATTTTTAATGTAATTGTATTTTTTTGTGTGTGTGTGTGTATGTGTGTGTGTGTGTGTTTATGCATGTGGGGGTTAGAAGACAACTTACAGGAGTCAAATTTTCTGATTCCACAAAGTGGGGGACCCACAGACTTAGCTCAGACCGTCAGGATTGGCAACAAGTGCCTTCACCAGCTGAGCCATTCTGGCAACCTCTCAAACTAATGTTATTATTCAAATAAAAAGGAACACTAAGCTGGGAATGGTGGCACACACTTAATCCTAGGGAGGCAGAGGCTGGTGGATCTCTGCATTTGAGCCCAGTCTAGTGTATATAGTGAGTTCTAGGGTCCATGGGAGAACTTTTTTTTTTATAATAATAATAACAACAGCAATAATTACTACTGTTACTTTAAAGGCAGCTGGAGAGATTGTTCAGTGTTGAAGAGCCTTTGCTGCTCTTGCAGAGAACTGTTTGGTTCCCAGCACCCACAGGGGTGGCTCCCAATGGCCTGCTGCAGGTGACCCCATGCCCTCCTGGACTCCCGAGAGCACCAGCACTCACGCATTCGTATGTCCACACGTAGACACATCAGAATAAAGCGGGGCTGCAGAGATGGCTCAGTGCTTAAGAGTGCTGCTGCTCTTCTCTCAGCAGGACATTTGATTGCTCATGACTGTAACTTCAGATTCTGGGGCTCAGACGCTCCAGAGGTGTGCAAACCCACACAGACCATACATACTCATGACTAGAAATAAAAATATTTTAAAAATTGATTTTATTTTTACAAGTTTATATTTTATGTGCATATGGCGTTTTGCCTGCATGTATGTCTGTGTGAAGTGTCCGATCTTAGAGTTACAGGCATTTGTGAGCTGCCATTGGGTGCTAGGAATTGAACCTGGGTCCTCTGAAAGAGCAGCATATGCTCTTAACTGCTGAGCCATCTCTCCAGCTCCCTAAAAGTGACTTAATTAATCATCTTAGCTTCAGGCTGGAACTTGTAGCTTACCTGTAAACTTTGGAGGCTGAGACAGGAGAATCATGAGTTTAATGTCAGCCAGAGCTGTGTTTAGGGCCAGAGTGAGGCTTTGTCTCAGTTTCTCCATCGGTGAGCTAAGCACTGATGTCACCTGTTCTGTAGTACTGCTGTGGAAAACAAAGCTTTGGCCCTTAGAGTGGTGAAGGAGCAGGCGTGAGGCTGGTTTGCTTCGTTTTTTCCAAGACAGGTTTCCCTGTAGCTTTGGAGCCTGTGCTGGAGCTACAGAGCGCTGTAGACCAGGCTGGCCTCAAACTCACAGAGATTCTCTGCTTCCCGAGTGCACCACCGCTGCCTGGGTAATTTCTTTTCATTTTCTTGTGGTACTGGCCACTGAACACAGGGCTTTGACATCCTCCATTCCTGCCTGTCTGCCCTTAAGATTTAGAGTTCCTTTAGTGGCTTTGAGGGCCTGGGTAGTTTGTGGCCTTGGTAGGATTATTCTGGAGTGACCTGAGGAGGTGACAGGCTCATTGACTTCTGTGTCATTTATTCCTTTAACAGATCAACTGTCTTGTGTCTGCACCTCGCCAGACAATACAAAACTTTCTGTTAGTTTGCTTGTTTCCTTGTTAAAAAGGAAGACAGAGTCTCCCGGCACAAGAAGTATGACCTTGAACTTTGGAACCTGCAGAGCAGAGATTTAGGCGTACAACCATTATTTCTGAGGTGCTGTTTATTGATCATTGAACCCAGGACTTGTGGCACTGTTGGTGAGCAACTCTACCAAGCAACCAAGCCATAGCTCTAGGTAGCTCTTCCTCCTCTTCTCCCCACCACAGAATTTTAGTCTGGTGGAGAAGAAAACTTAGAAAACTGATATTTACAACATTGAATGATACAAAATAGGTAAAACTGGAGGAGGGAAACCTATTTTTCTACTCTGGCATTGGTAGGTAGGGAGGGCTTTGCTTCAGAGGTTTCTGCCCTAAGCAAATGGGAGGAGTTAGGTATTTCAGGAGGTGGGACTGCAAGTCTGAATAAATGCCTAGGGACAAAAGAGCGTTCTGTGTTGCAAATTGTGGCTCTTTGTGGCCTTGGACCTGGGGAGTGGAGAGTTAGTGGAGACTCAAGTTTCTCTGTTGGGGTAAGGAGTATGGGTTTTTTAAAAACTTGTAAGACCTTAGAGTCTTTGGTCAAGTATATTACTTAAAATATAGTAGATTGGAGTAGTGGGTAAAATAAAGGGGGGCAAGACTGTATGGAATTCCAGTACGGTAGCTCCCCAGAAGACAGAGGGTTTGAACTACGGTGGCTGTGAGCCAGAGAACAGGCTGTGGCTAAGGCCACTTAGAGGGTAAGAGGCCTCAGAAGTGTGGCTGTGTGGAGGTGCTGGCGGGGTGGATGGTAGGAGTAGGCAGCTTTGATAGCGACTGTCTGGAAATCTGGAAAACAGATTTGTGTACATGGACAGTCTGTACACGGGTTTGAAATCCTGGAGTCAGATGCACATTAAAAATGGCAATAAGTGCCCTGGAAATGCTCTGTGTGCCTTATACTTTTGTGTGTAACTTGGTGACTTTATAGATAGAACAGATTATAAAGTAATTTGATCTTGAATGTTTAGAAATTTCAACCACTGCTGGCCTGAAAATGTTAAAATCTGTGAGAATTTTAAATCCTGAGAACTTGGAAGGTCTGGATGTAGGACTGGATATCAGTTTTTAGTTTCTTTGTTGTATTAAAAAAAGGTCTCAGTTGGGCAGTGGTGGTGCACGCCTTTAATCCCAACACTCAGGAGACAGAGGCAGGAGGATCTCCTGAGTTCGAGGCCAGTCTGGTGGTCTACAGAGCGTGTTCCAGGACTGACTCCATAGCTTCTGAGAAACCTTGTCTCGAAAAATCAAAAGAAAGAAGGAAAGAAAAAAGAAAGAAAGAATTAAGGAAGGAAGGATGGCCTTGAACTTGTAGCCATTCTCCCACCCAGCTTGTTTTCTTTTTTGAGACAGTATTTCACACTAGTTCTAGGTGACCTGGAATTCACAGACTTGAATTTACAGCAATCCTCCTGCCTCAACCTCTCTAATGTTGTAGATTACAGGTGTGAGCCACCACACCCTGTGAGGTCTGCCTTTTTTTTTTTTTTTTTAATTCAGTAACTTGCTGAAACTTGTTTGACTTGGAGCCTTCAGAAGAGCAGTTTGCTGAAGTCTGCTTGTAGCCCACATCTGCCCCATTGGCCTTTCATCAAGGGCCACTATAAAGTAAATAAAGAAGCTTGGCCAGCAGTGCCTGCTGGGTGGGAAGGCGGGGGACACTAGACTACTGGCTGAGGCCAGGAGAGACCATTTCCAAGAGACAGTGGTCTCCAGTGTCACGTGCTCCAGAGAATTCTAGTAAGAGAAGGAGGGGGAAAGTGGATGGACTCAGTAGTGGAAGAGCCATTAGTCTCGGATTCTTAGAAAGAAGGGTCTGAGTTCAGTCACAACTTACTTTTTCTCCTTTCTGGTCCTGCAGCAGTCGGGGCCGGCATCCAGCAAGCATTTGTTGTAAGGAATTATTAATTGGCACTGGTGGCTATTCTAATCAAATCAGCCGTGTGTGTGTGTGTGCGCGTGTGTGTGTGTGCGTGTGTGTGCGCGCGCGCGCGCGCGTGTGCTCCAGAGTTACTAGGGAATCAAACCTGAGCTCTCCACGTGTAGGGAAGAAGCAGTGCCCCAAGCCCCAGACACCGTTCCACTTGCTAGTTTTCTTTTTTTGAGACAGTTTCACTGTGTAGACCAGGCTGGCCTTAAATTCACAGAGAGGCACCTGCCTCTGCCTCTTAAGTGCCACCAGGCCTGGCCTCTGTTAGTGTTTTCTATCCAAAGAAAATCAACCCCAAGTGCTCTTTACAGATGTAGAAAGCAGGTTTGGGTATAGTTTCTACTGTGGTTTGCAGGAGAAACCTCTCAGTGTATTCTGTAACTCAAGCCTGAATTAGTGGAGAATTACACTGCACCGTTCAGAAAACCACTAGCAGCTGGAAGAGGGCATTTTCGCCCTGCAGACTGGAGATGAAAATGATAATACTAATAAACTACCACTTACTGCTTCGAATAGCAGTTAGCATTAAGTGATTACTATGTGCTGGGTACCATGCTAAGCATGGGTTCTTGAAATACCTAATTTAATTCTGCTAAGCAACTCAATGGGTACATACAATTATCTTCCCTTTACAGATGAGAAAATTGACCGGATTTGAGCCCCATCCCTGGTCCTTCCAGAGGCAATGAGTGATTTCTCTGCTGCATAAACTGCTCTTAACCTTTCTCCTAAGTCAGGTAAGGCCATTTAATTTAAACTCATAATGTGAATTTATCTGTACACGTGCCTTTTGAGGAGTCTTGGGCACACGCTGGGTATCTGATGGCTCGCACGCACTTGTTATGACTGTGTTTTTGGGAGAAGGGCAGTTTTCTCTTTCAGTCATATCAGTTGATATATTTTTGTCTTCAAATTTTACTACATTTTACACTGATGTGTGGACTTTGGGTTTTAAAAATTAGTATATTTTAAATTACCTAGATTTATTTTATTTTTTCTTGTTCAAATTACATTCAAATTCATTTTATTTTATTACTTTTTAAATTGTTTTAATGAGCATTGGTATTTTACATCTGTATCTGTGTGAAGATGTTAGATGCCCTGGAACTGGAGTTACAGACAGTTGCAAGCTGCCATGTCGGTGCTGGGAATTGAACCTGGGTCCTCTAGGAAAACAGCCAGTGCTCTTAACTGCTGGGCCATCTCTCGAGCCATTTAAATTTATTTCTAGAAGATGAAGTAAAAGAAGACCCTGAAGTCTGAGTAGAGACTGGTTTGGCCGTGGCTGCACCTGGATAAGTAAATGTTCTCATTTGCATTAATTTGTTAGAAAACTGACATTCCAGCCGGGCGGTGGTGGCGCACGCCTTCAATCCCAGCACTCAGGAGGCAGAGGCAGGTGGATGTCTGTAAGTTCGAGGCCAGCCTGGTCTACAAGAGCTAGTTCCAGGACAGGCTCCAAAGCTACAGAAAAACCTTGTCTTGAACCCCCCCCCCCAAAAAAAAAAAGAAAAGAAAAGAAAAGAAAAGAAAAGAAAACTGACATTCCGAGAGTTCGCATTCATTCCAGTGTAAGAGAATAGCGTACAGTGGTAGGTCTCTGTGCTTTAAAGGAGGTGGAATATAGAATTACCGTGGCAACTGGAGAAAGATGCTGGGGCCCTGAAGAAAGCACAGTTTTGAAGCAGAATTAAAGAACGGCAGTGACTTGGAGAGGGCCACATGTCCTGAAGAGAATAAATAGTGTTCAGATTTTTTTGTTGTTTGTATTTTGAGACAGAGTCTCTGTGTAGCCCAGGCTGTTCTGGAGCTCACTCTGTAGACCAGGGTGTCCTGGACATGCTTTGTAGACCAGGCTGGCCTGGAACTCTTGTCATGTTTTGTGGCTGTATTCCCAAATGCTTGCCCACCTCCTAACTGCTATGTGTGCTTTCTTCTGTGTTTCCAAGAAAGAACTCTGACAGTGTTCTTTATATAGATAATGTCTGTATCTAGATATAATTAATATTATAATATAGTATCAAAAAGGACTTTTTATGTTGTTTTGAGACATAAATAGTCCTGGCTGGCCTTGAACTCAACTGAGTAGCCCAGGTTGGCATGTGAATTTGTGACCTTCCTGCTTTGATTCAGGTAGTCAAGCATGCCTGGCAACTTGAAGATAAAAACAAACATTTGTACTGTAGCCCCCGTTTCTCACTTCTGTTGTGGAAGGTGACTGTTCTCAGCAGCAGCTCTTTGTGCATTTTCAGTGTTGGATTCTTCGTTACCTTACATTCCTTCCTTGGAGTAGCAGAGGTCTCTTTATATTCTTCACTTTTAGAATTTAAGTTATTTATTTTTGAGGCATGGTCTCAGCAGATAACCTCAGGTGGCCTTGAACTAGCTATGTAAACCTGGAACCCACAGGATCTCTTTAAATTTGAAGAAAGTTTTCCATAGCTAAAGATGATGGCCATTAGATCTGTTAGTGATTGATTGATGAGTATTTTGAGGCAGGGTCTCCTAGCCCAGGAGTGCCTCCGACTTGCTGTGTACAGGCTGCTATAATCCCTGGATCCTCCTGCCACCACCTACCTGCTGCTGGGATGACAGGTATGCGCCACCACGCCCAATTTGTTTGTTTTTTTTGTTGTTGTTGTTTTTGTTTTTTCAAGGCAGGGTTTCTCTGTGTCCACCCTGGCTGTGCTGGAACTGGCTTTGTAGACCAGGCTGGCCTTGAATTTGGAGATCCTTCTACCTCTGCTTCCTGGGTGTTAGGATCAAAGGCTTGAACCACCTCTGTCCCCACTTCCCCCAGCTTTTTTAAGAAGTTTTTTTTTGTTTTGTTTTATATGAAACAATAGAGCTTAGTTTTAACTTTTTGTCATTATGAATTAGAAAATCTAATAGATTTTCTACCCCTGCCCTCTTTGTCAGGCTTGGATTGAACCTAGGGCTCTGAATAACCCAGGCAAGTATTATGCCACCAAATTACAGTCCCGCCAACCATTCAAAAACTGCAAAGCTTCCAGTTTATGCAACATTCTTTGGTGTTTGACTGTGACTATATAGAAATAATTATATAGACTTTGTGAAGTACCAATTTAGTACTTTTTAATTTAAATAGAATGTTGTTGGGGTTTCTGTCCTGCCGGGTTCCCGTAATCACAATCGTTAAGTCCCAAAGAAACCATACAGAGATCTACATCAACTATAAACTGACTGGCCCATTAGCTCAGGCTTCTTATTAACTCTTTTTTTTTAACTTTATTTATTGTGTATACAGTTTTCTGCCTGCATGTATACTTGCAGGCCAGAAGAGGGCACCAGATCTGATTACAGAAGGTTATGAGCCATCATGTGGTTGCTGGGAATTGAACTCAGGACCTTTGGAAGAACAGTCAATGCTTTTAACCTCTAAGCCATCTCTCCAGCCCGTTATTAACTCTTTTTTTTTTTAAATATTTATTTATTATGTATACAATATTCTGTCTGTGTGTATGCCTGCAGGCCAGAAGAGGGCACCAGACCTCATTACAAATGGTTGTGAGCCACCATGTGGTCGCTGGGAATTGAACTCAGGACCTTTGGAAGAGCAGGCCCGGGGTGGGGGTGGGGGGTAAAGAGACAGTTTTTGAAAACCTTAGCCAGTCACAACACTTGGGATCAGAAGTTCAAGGTCATCCTTCATTACTTAGAGAATTACCACACCAGAATGGGCTATCTGTGACCCTCTCTCAAAAATCAAAACGAAATAAGATGAAATTAGAAAATAGATATTTATTATAAAGTAATTGTGTTGTAAACAAATTTGTTTGCATTATAAATATTTTATGATTTTTATTGTTATGGCATATTAAAATATTCCTGTAACTATGTGTATATATGAGTGGGTGTGGTCCTGGGGATTGAAGTCAGGTAGTCGGGTTTGGCAGCCCCAAGAACTTTGCCCCTGTGAGCCCACTCAACTCACTGTTCCATTAAGATATATTTTACCACACAGATTTTATTTATTTATCTATCTATTTATTTATTTATTTTTGGTTTTTCAAGGCAGGGTTTTTCTGTGTAGCCCTGGTTCACAGAGATCCACCTGCCTCTGCCTCCTGAGTGCTGGAATTAAAGGTGTGTGTCACCACTACCCAGTGTATCTGGCTTTTTGGGGGATTTAAACTCAGGTCTTCAGATTTGTGTAGGAGGTGCTTTATCCACTGAACCATCATGTTGGCCATGGAAATAACCAGAAATAAGTTTTTTAAAAAAACGAACTTATATGTAAGATACATAATACATACATATATATGTATGCACACACATTGGATTTTTGAGGTTGGATTTCTGTGTGTAGCTCTGGCTATCTTGGAACTAGCTTTTTAGACAAGGCTAACCTCAAACTCACAGAGATCCACCTGCCTCTGCCTCCTGAGTGCTGGGATTAAAGGTGTGCGTCAGTGCTGCCCAGCTAAGATACTTTCTTTTAAAGATTTATTTATTTACTATATATACAGTGTCCTGTCTGCATGTATGCCTGCACAATAGAAGAGGGCACCAGATCTCATTATAGAAGGTTGTGAACCACCATGTGGTTGCTGGAAATGGAACTCAGGACCTCTGGAAAAGCAGCTTTAACCTCTGAGCCATCTCTCCAGACCAAGATATTTCTTAAAAATTAAAACAAAAATTACACTTATTGTGTGTGTATTTGTGAGTGGAAACACATGTGCCACTGCGCAAATGTGGATGCCAGAGGACGCCTTGCAAGAGTTCATTCTTTCTACCCACTGAGCCATCTCACCAGCCCCAAGGGTAACTTAAAAAAAAAACATCAACAGTAGATCTTCAAATAGACTTGAATTAATTCCATCAAAGACCCAGTGACGGACAAGTGGCACAGAATGTAAACATCAAAGATGGGTTTTCATATGTGTTGTCTTAGGTGCCCAGACTTTTAGGGCAGAGTCTTCTGCCTGCCAGGCTAGCCGGTGACAACTTCTGTCCCTCCTGCCTCTGCCTCCTGAATGCTGGTGTGGACCAGCAGCATGTCTGACTTATGCCAGCCCCTGACACCGATTGGTTGACTCCCCCCCCCCCCATTTGTTTTCTTTCACTCTGTTAGGGATTGACTCTGCAGCCTTTTTCCTGTTCTGCCTGGACTGCATCCTCATTTTAGGGGCAACTAAATATATTTTACTTCAGTTCTTTATTTTGCCCTAATAAGATGAAAAAGAAAAAGCTCTTATTTTTGCTGTGCATTTGTGTGTGGTTATGTCTATTAGTGCGTACAGTTTTATTAACTATAACAATACTTTAGGCTTTTCTTTGTCTTTGTGAAGTCTGATACCCTGACTCTGCAAAATAGGTCCACTTCATTGTTATAGACTGTATAGGACTTTTAGTCTGCATTTGATCCTTCTGTGTGACGAATGTTCTTCTCCAGGATCATATAGCATCTCTTACTATCGCTGGCAGGAGAAAAGACAGTAACATGCCGTACAGTTAGCATCTGTGAATAACTTCTGTTTCTCCAGAGCTTACCATGTACTAGCGATGGTCCTAAGCTCAGTCTATGTGATCCTTGGATCCTTAGAACCTAGTGATGTTATAGCTACTGTTATCCCTGATTCACAGATGTGTGGAAATGATTTGTTCAAGATAGCATAGTACATGGTAGAGTTTGGACTTGAGCCTCAGACATCTGTGTAGTTCCTGTCCATTAGTGTGCCCTCCTGCACTCTGTTGTCTCTTCGCTCTTCCCTCCAGCTTCTTTTCTGGTTTCTGGGGAGTTAGCCTTGGACTTGCACATGGTGAACATTTGTTTGACGGCCACTGAACTGCTCTGGCAGCCTGGGAGCTTGTTTGTTTCTTTTTTCTTTTGAGGTAGGCTCTCATAACCTTGAACTCCAGAGTGCTGCGATTTCAGGCAAAGGCCTGGGGTTTGCAAGCCTATCTCACCATGCTTATTTTCATGTAGTGCTGGGGACTGAACCAGAGCTCAACTAGCACGCTACCCCCTGGTGAGGTTGTTACATTGGGTCTTTGTGGGTGCTTGTGACTGACTGTTGAGCAGTGAAGTGCGTGGTGTAGATGTGGTTGGTGCTTGTGACTGACTGTTGACTGACTGTTGACTGACTGTTGAGAACACTGAAGTGCATGGTGTAGATGTGGGTGGTGCTTGTGACTGACTGTTGAGCACTGAAGTGTGTGGTGTAGATGTGGTTGAGTGACTAATGCTTGGCCTCAAGAAATTCAGGTTTGGATGGAACAGGTGTGGCAGACAGAATATTAGAAAGGAAGTAGGGTTACATTGTGTGTGTGTGTGTGTGTGTGTGTGTGTGTGTGTGTGTGTGTGTTCATGTGTGAGTGCCCTGGTGGGTATGTGGAGATCAGGGAACCATTTTCAGGAACTGGTTTTCTCCTCCCACCATGTGGGTCCTTGGGACTGAACTCAAATAGTCAGGTTTGGTCCACTGAGTCACCTTGTCAGCCCCCAAATAACATCTTTTAAAAGCAAAATTTGTTCTATTTTAGGTACGTGTGTGTGTTAATTAACTTTTTCTTTTGGGCATGTGTTGTGTGTGTGTGTGTGTGCTAGGCTGATGTCAGGTGTCCTCCTCCATTGATTTCCACCTTATATGCTGGGGCAGACTCTCAGTTGAGCTAGAGCTCACCTATACTGCTGGTCTCACTAGCCAGCTTGCCCAGATACCCTGTCTGCCATCCAATTGTAGGTTGTCACACTCACTTTGTATCTGTCTGGCTTCTAGATATCTTCCTCATACTTGTGTAGCCAGTGCTCTATCCACTGAGCCAACTCCCCAACCATTTCTCATGTAGTCTAAGCTGGTCTTGAACTCCCGTTCTTCTGGCCTCTACTCCACAAGAGCTGAGAGCTCACAGGTGAACACCATCATGCCTGACTTAGAAGCTTTATTCACTTTCATCATTGTGTATGTGGTGTACGTGTGGCATGCATGCTACAGCATGTATGTGGAGGTCAGGACAACTCTGGGGGTCAGTTCTCTCCCCCTACTTTTATGTGGGTTCCAAGGATTGACTTGGGGAACATGGGTAGCCAGGCTTGTGCAGCAGGTGCTTTTACCTCTCCCCCACACCCCAGATACCTTACTGCCTTCCCCACCTCCCATCCTCCTTCTCTTTTATTTTTATTACATTTATTTCTTTATTTTGTGTTGCTTCTTGCCATGGACAGGTGTGGAGATCAGAAGAGAACTTGAGCGGGAGTCAGTTCTTTCCCTTTCACTGTGTTGGTCTGGAGGACTGAACTCAGGTCATAGAACTCTATATAGAACAGGCTGATCTTGAACTCAAAAGAAAACCACCTGCTTCACCTTTCCAAATGCTGGGGTTATAGGTGTGTGATGCCATAAACAGCTCTGTTTTGTATTTCATAGAAACATTTTTTAACAAATTGCTAAACATTTTGTCAGTGTAGCAAAAATGAAGTAAAACTATTTTTGAAATTTTTCCCTTTTTTTACGTGTTTGGTATTTTTTTTGTTTGTTTGTTTGTTTTTGTTTTTCGAGACAGGGTTTCTCTGTAGCTTTGGAGCCTGTCCTGGAACTAGCTCTTGTAGACCAGGCTGGTCTTGAACTCACAGAGATCCGCCTGCCTCTGCCTCCCAAGTGCTGGGATTAAAGGCGTGTGCCACCACCGCCCGGCTAAGTGTTTGGTATTTTGATTGCATGTATGTCAGTGCACCACATGGGTGCCTAGTGGAGACCTGGGGCTGGAGTTAGAGATGGCTGTAAGCCATCCTTTGGGTGCTGGGAATTGAACCCAGGTTCTCTGGCAAAACAGCTATTGCTCTTAACTGCTGAGCCATTTCTACAGCTCCCACTCTTCCCCCATCCCCTCACTTTTTTGGATTTTTGGGACAGGGTTTCTCTGTGTAACAGTTCTGGCTATCCTAGAACTCACACTGTAGACCAGACTGGCCTCGAACTCACAAAGACCTCTGCTTCCCAAGTGCTGGGATTAAAGGTGTGTGTTACCATCGCCCACCCTCTCCTCACTTATGTGGCCCAGACTAACTCAAATTTACTGTGTAGCTGAGGATGACCTGGAACTCCGGGTCCTTCTGCCACCTTCAAGTGCTGAAATTACAGGTATAGACAGACTCTGGTGTTAGCTGGTGGAAGAGGCTCTAACTCGGAGCCACTTTGAGCTCGTCACAGAGTAAATATAATTTGGTTCCTGTTGGATCTCATACTTAATATTAAATTCTAGTCATTCCATCACTTTAGGAAGGGTGGCGGGCACATACTAATGTTTTGGATGAGCTTACTTTGTTTATCTCTGTGTTAATGAGGCCTTTGATGTTTTGTAGACAATCTGCTTCCTTTTGAATGAGAGCACTCCAAACTGTGGTCCCCTGGGCTCTCTTCATATTGCTGTGGTGCAGAAGATTTAAAATCAGGTATGGCTAGAGGCCACAAGTCCCTCAGTGAAATTCTCTCCTTGAGTCGGCTTTACAGTCTCTGATTTGTTTATCATTTGGGTTTCTTTTTTGTGGTGGCCTTTTAGCTGATGTTCACAAGGAATAGAGTCACGTGATGTATGAAGGGAAACATATACACTTCTCTGAGGTTGACAATAAGCCCTTGTGCTCATATAGCCCCAAACTGTGCAAGCAGCGGCGACTCAACGGTTACGCTTTCTGTATCAGACACGTTCTGGAAGACAAGACCGCCCCCTTCAAGCAATGTGAATATGTGGCCAAGTATAACAGCCAGCGCTGTACCAACCCCATTCCCAAATCAGAGGATCGTAGGTAAGAACCACCTTGGGGCTGGGCGTGGGTCATTAACAGTCTTGGAATTTTGTCTCTCTGATACTGTTTCTTTTCAGTGTGTTAAATTTCAGTTGTTGAGTCCTGGAACTGTCCAAGGAAACTTTGGAGTACTTCTGGGGGTAAGAAAGAACAATTTTTTTTTAAGCGGAGCAGTACATTTTAAGGGTCTTTTAAAGTATGTCTGGGTATTTTCTTCTTTTATTGATTTCATAGACTTCTAGACATTTAAGAGTGTCTTTCTCCCCCCTTCCGAAAACTGCTGCTAACTCTTGAAGTGCAGCTCTGTTTGGTGGGTGGCCACTTAAGGAACTGCTGGCCTTTTTGCCCACTGGCTGCCACAGCGTAGGAACTGGCTAAGTGCTACCATCAGTATTGATTTGGGTTTGGGGGAAAAGTGCCTGCATGAAAGGTAATAAAAGATGTAATAGTTGGGGAAGAACTTAAAATAATGAAACATTCATTAGATTTGCTCCATAACAGATATAGAAGTCGTGACTGACAATGTTTTCTGATGTGGCCTTTTATGAGTAAAGAGTCCCACGTGCATTATATTTATGAAATTGAATTTTCACTTTTTAAAAAAATAACTTAATTATCCTCTTTATATTTTTCTAGCATTTTTGAATTTTAACAATTATTTTTTTAAAAGATTTATTCATTTATGTATTATGTATACAGTATTCTGCCTGCATGTGTACCTGTACCCCAGAAGAGGGCACCAGATCTCATTACAGATGGTTGTGAGCCACCATGTGGTTGCTCGGAATTGAACTCATGACCTCTGGAAGAAGAGTCAGTGCTCTTAACCGCTGAGCCATCTCTCCAGCCCCCAACAGTTATTTTTAGAATCAGAGAAAAGCTAATCCTTATTATCTTAAATGTCACAAGATAGTGCCACAGAGTGTCAGAGAACAAAGCACTCTGGAGGCTCGGGGAAGCCATTTAGTCCCTGGAGATTCTGGTCATGGGTGCGGTGTGGGGTGGGTCTCATTTGTAGCCTGACCCTGTCTACTGTGGCAGATGTCTCTCATAGGTGGTTGCTTACACTGAGAGTTAAGCACTGAGAACTTTAGCCCATTGCTCCACTGCTGCAGATGCTTGTGGCCCCGTTCTGGTGGGTGTGGGAGAACCGTTCTGTCACCAAAAGTCAGTCCCTCAGCCCCGGGAGGATACCGTTTCCTGTTCTTCAGACTCTTGCCAAGACACTGGTGTCCTTCTGGGTCTCCTGTCTCGGGGAGATGCACCTCACAATTTACCACATACAGTATGTGGAACCTCTTGGCCCAGATACTGACCACACAGAGCTAAGCCTAGGATTCAAGAGAGACTTTAAGAAGCATTGGTCAGTAGTTCTGCAGCCTGAGGGAGGAGTGATCAGTCCACCAGACTTCATGATGGGCCAGGCCTGAGCCAGCTCTGGTGATGGAGCAGGGACTCGGACAGCTGTGGTCTCTGTTGTCCTCACCTCACTCAGCCAGACAGCTGGAGCAGGGTGTGTCAAGGACTGAGTCTGAGAAGGGCCTATCACACCTTCCATTAAGGGTCTTCGTTGGTTTGCTTTGCGCCTTAGCAAATGAACTATTTTCTACCTTGGTGGAGGACAGATCCCCAATTGTTTTCTTCTCCTCTCCCCAGAGTGGTAGGCAGCACTCGAATAGGAGGAAGGGATTTGGCTTCAGGGTACCGTTCCTGAGACCACTATTACAGAATGACGATGGGAATCTGGCTGAGGAGGCAGTGCTGAAGTCACCCCAAAAGCAATGGTCCTCCTGGAAGCAGAGACCCATGTTAGGTCACTGGGGTGCCTTGGAGATCGGCATAGGTGGGACATAGGGACAGGCATCAGCTACAATGGAAAGAGTTTCATTTAGGGTCGGGCTGGCTGTCATGGTAAAAGTAAAAATGCTGCAGATCCCCAAGTGGCTGCAGTGGCAGAAACGCTGCAGGTCCCTAAGCGGTGCAGTGGGGAGCAGCCAGTCCCAGGCCTGAGTGGCTGCAGCAGGCCACAAGTCTCAGGTAGGAAGCCGCGTGATGGGTGAGAAACCTCAATGGGGCAGCCAGTCCCACCAGGAGAGACAGATGGGCACGCCATGAGACCATGCTTCAGGTCTCCCGGGCAAGGAGCCACGTGGCGGGTGAGAGACAGAGTCATGGATAGGCACGCCATGCAGAGTGAGGTTGGATATTTACTTAGTGGGCTATGGAAGGGGAGGAGAGAGAGTGAGATTTAGTGAGTTGTGGAAGGGGAAAAGGAGAGAGAGAGAGAGAGAGAGAGAGAGAGAAGCAGAGAGAAACAGAAGGGAGGGAAGGGAAGAAGTGGGACCAAAGCTGCCTCATAGAGAGGGAGCCAGAAAAAGAGAGACTCCTGCAAGCAGGAATGAAGATCTGCCTGCCTCAGCAGATGGTGGAGGGAGGGATTGCTCCCCCCCCCCCCCCAAAGCGGGGCTTGTTTCTTAAAGGGACAGGACAGATTATTACACTGGCTCCTTAGGAAAGCGCCACAGTTGAGGAAAGACGGGCCAGGAGGGGACAGATAACTGCAACTCTCAAAGCTGCACCCCTGTGCCCAGAGGCCTTTGCTACTGCAAGAGCCTCTGGGACTCTGCTAGATGCCCTACCTCACTCCCCCACTTAATTATTGGATTTCTGACTGTATTTTCACTTTAAGGGCAGACTTTTGCCACTAGAATTTGTGAATTTATTAAGAACATTGTGCTATTTTTTTTCTCTCCTTTACATTGTGCTTTTTGTTTGTTTAATTCTATTTTTTTCTAGACAGGGTTTTTTTTTATATATATCCCTGGCTGTTCTGGAACTCACTCTGTAGACCAGGCTGTCCTTGAACTCAGAGATCTGCCTGCCTTTGGCTCTCAAGTGCTGAGATTAAAGGTGTGCACCACCACCGCCTGGCTACAGTGTGCTATTTTTAAGAAATGGGTTGTAATTGATTATCTTTTACAGTCTTAGGAAAAATACTTTCACCTATGGTCCTTCCCTTCTTTCCATTCTCCAGGTCACAGTGATAGTTTTGGAACACGGTTTTAGATACTTTGTTAGGGTAGAAAATTTACACACACTCCCTCTGTGGTTATGTGTTGTCCTTGTTAAAGTAAACAAATGTTAACCTGCATAAACTGGCCAAAAAACCTGTACATTGCTTATGTCATAAGTTTTGTTTGTTGTTGTTGGTTTTTTTTTTTTTTTTTTTTTTTTGGTTTTGCGAGATAGCGTTTCTGTAGCGTTGGAGCCTGTTACAGAACTAGCGTTTGTGGATCAGGCTGGCCTCGAACTCCCAGTGATCCACCTGCTGTCATGAGTATTTTTTATTTTCAGTGGGAGTCCACCAGAGTGAGCTCATAGAGAGGCGATTTGGGGTTCTCTTTTAGAATTTCAGATTGCAGAGCCTAAAATTCAAAAACAGGTGCTTACAAGGAAGAAAACACTGAGCTCCTTAATATGTGCGTGGTTCTCGGGGACTGAGGGCTGATCCCTCACCCCGAATCCAATACCAACCCTCTCTGGGTCACTCAGGGGCTACTGTAAATGCGTCGCTGTATGTAGTGTTCAGTTTTGGTTATCATTCATGGCATCTCTTCTCCTTGGCTTCCTTTTTGAGATCAGAAGAGAGCCCTGCCTTTTTTTTTTTTTTTTTTTTTTTTTGGTCTTTTGAGACAGGGTTTCTCTTGTGTAATCCTGGCTGTCCTGGAACTCACTCTAGACCAGGCTGGCCTCAAACACACAGAGATCCCCCTGCCTCTGCCTCCTGAGTGCTGGGATTAAAGGCGTGTGCCACCATCACCTGACTTGAGCTGCTTCTCTTAAAGAGGCAAAATTTTTCCTGACTGAACTAGAAGGTTTAGTTCTGCACAACATTTAAAGTAAATACGCAAACACAGATTTGACATTCTACCTGGGGAAATGGTTGATTGATGAGGTAGGCATTTGTGGGCTGTTCAGCGTTGGTGTTTGGATCTGGACCCTGTCCCTCGTGACTGAGTAGTGAACACTCTTATCTGCTAGCCATCTCCTTCTCCCTGAATATAAAATCCTGCCTTACCATTCTGAACTGGAGTTACAGAACAGCTGTGAGCTGCCATGTGGGTGCTGGGAACTGAACCTGGGTCCTCTGGAAGAACAGCTAGTGCTCTTAATCACTGAGCCCTTTTTTATTTTGAGATAAAATTCTTGCTACACATCCCAGGCTGGCCTTGAACTTGTTGTCCTCCTCCCTTGGTATTCTGAGCAGCTGGACTTGTTAGTGTGTGACTGCTGTGTCTCCCTCTTTGACTGTTATGTTTGATTCTGTGGTTCAAGTCCCCCAGACTGGGCTTGAACTACCTGTATTGAGGAAAGTGACTGAACTCCTGGTCCTTTTGCCTCTCTCTCCCTCACAAGTGCTTAGATTAAAGGCTGGTACACCAGTACTGGTATTGTTCATTCTTCTTAACTTCTTAGTTACTAGTTTTTCCTAACACTGCTCCCCTTACTACCCAGTCTTAGGGCTCTGTTCAGTGTAGAATATATGTGGGGTCTGCCCAGTGTTGTGTGGAGATGTCACTTGCTTGCTTCAGTAACGGGTTCCTTCTTCAGATAGTTTTGGGGAACACTGACCGACTCCAGGAGGGTGTATCTCCCTCTTGGAGCTACATGCTGTTGTCCATAATTCTTTGAGAATTTTTTCAGCAGAAGCAGGCAACAACAAAATTACTATGTCATTTTGGTTAAGCCATAATTTTCCAAATTGACTTAAGTGTGGGGTATATTTTGATGGCACACTTGTTAACGTGCTGTGGGAACATGAAGAATATGGATTAGAGAATATTCTGTTCCACAGACTCTTGACAGATTTTCAGGATGGTTAATTGGTATAACAGGTCTATGTTTTCTCATTATGTACAGGTCTGTATCATTCATGGTATCTAAGTTACAAAGGTAGTCTGCCCGTTGGGGAAGTCATCATGAGCTTTAATTTAATTTCAAACCCCAACTTGGTCAGTTTCCCCTGGGGAAGTGGGCAGATTCAGTTTTGTAGATGTAGTGGAGTAATCTGAATCAAGGGCTTTATTTCAGTGCCTACTTCAGCTGGGCTGCAGGGGGCAGTCTATGTTCTTACGTCTCTGCCTACTGAAATGCTCATTCCACTAACCATGCCATCCCTGCTCCTGTGTGTGGGTGTGGGTGTGTGTGGTGTGTATCAGTGTGTGGTGTCAATGTGTATGTGTTTGTGAGTGTGTGGGTGTGTTTGGTGTATGGGTATGAGTGTGCTGTGTGTGTTTGGTATGTGACTGATGGGTGTAAGTGTGCTGTATGTGTGTGACTGGGTGTGTTTGTGTGTGAGTGTGTGCTGTGTGTGACTCGGTGTGTTTGGTGTGGGTGTGAGTGTGCTGTGTGTGTGTTTGGTGTGTGTGACCGGGTGTGTGTTTGGTGGGTGTGAGTGTGCTGTGTGTTTGGGTGTGAGTGTGGGTGGCACATATCAGGGTTATGTTACATGACCTTGGTAACTCAGGAACTTAGGTAGCTTTGGAATGTAATGTTTTTTCCACAAGAGACTTTGAGGTGATCTTCAGACTGTGGATGAGCTCTTGGTGTTCTCTGAGCACAGACAAGCACAGCTGTCCAGCTGCTCACCAGGGGCAGACCTGCTGTTGTCTGCTGGCCTCTACACTCGAGCAGACCACACTGTGCATTATCAGAGTGACATGGTCCTCAGTTGGAGACAGCTGGAGAGGAATGAGAGTTGCCTTTTCCATTTTATCTTTTGAGCTAGTGTCTTGCTGTGTGGCCCAGGCTAATTTTGAACTTATGGTCTCCTACCTAACTAAGTGTTAGTATTACAGGCTGTGCTGCCATATTTCTCGCTAGAACTTTGTTTTGTTGATTTTTGAAGACAGGGTTTCTTTATGTAGCCCTGGCTGCCCTGGAACTCACTCTGTAGACCAGGCCTCAAACTCAGAGATTCACCCGCCTCTGCCTCTGGAGTGCTGGGATTAAGAACAAGGGTCTACAAACTAGCTTTGAACTCCTGATCCTCTTACACCTTCCAAGTGCTAAGATTAGAGGCCTGTGCTACCACACCTGGCCTGGCCGTCTGATGTGTAGTATATTAGGATCTAGATTCTGTAGTATGTTTATATATGTGTATATTAGGATTTGGATTCTGTAGTATGTGTGTTTATATATGTATATGAAGAGCATTCTCTCATGTGTGTCCACTGTTACAGGTACTGCAACAGCCACTTGCAGGTACTTGGCTTTATCCCGAAAAAAGAGCGGAAGAAAAAGAATGATCCGGTAGATGAGGTGAAGGTCAGGCACCAGATGGATGCCATGGCGTTTAGCCTGACAGTGCCTACGCTGGCCTTGAAGATGCCCAATGGACTGGATAGCATGTCCCTCTCTCCACCTGGGTCAAGAGTCCCTCTCCACTACCTGGAAACGGAGCTCGAAGATCCCTTTGCTTTCAATGAGGAAGACGATGACCTAAAGAAAGGGGTGGCCGTGAGAAAGAAGTTGCAGAGCAAGTTGGCTCAGAACCGGCAGCGCCAGAGAGAGACAGAGATTTTGAAAGTTCATCAAGAGCACTTTAGCACCCCTCCTGCACCTCCACAGCAGCACGCCCACTTGTCACCTCTCTCCACTTCTGTAACGCCTCCAGCGCCACCGCAGGGTTCAGTCTGCAAGTCACCTCAGCCTCAGAACACCAGCCTACCAATGCAGGGAGTGGCCCCCACCACACACTCTATAGCACAAACAAGGCAGGCCTCTAACAAGAGGCCTCTGTCCCTCCTTCCATCCAGTCGGGCTCCCATCTCAGATGTCCCCAGGACTGACCGAATCCTCATGAAAGCCACCGCCTTCTCTCCACACTTGTCCTGTATAAGCCGACTGCAGAGACTGGTGAAACTGTGCACCCAAAAGCATCAGCTGGACGCAGACCTGTTCCCTCACCTAGGTGGGTCGGCCTCTCTTTTACTGTATCTATTCTGTATGACATCTGTCTGTCACGTTGTGTGTCTCAGCAGACCACACACAAAGCATGCTTCTGCATGGGAGATTCCTGGTGGATAGATACAGGGCTGAACTGGCCGTTTAGAATTTCTGTCATAATTTTTGAAAATTAAACTCTTGAAATTCTAAAAATGATTTTTTGACAATTACATATGAACATATAATGTATTCTCACCATATTTAATCCCCCATTGCTTTTTGTGTCTCCCTCTTCCAGTGAACCCATTTCTTCTTAGCCTAGTTCCTTTTCTACTCTGCTAAGTTTATTAGCTTTGCTTTCGTGAGCATGGAGATACTCATGGCCTTCATTAATATTTATAGCCACACATAAAAACGGTGGATCAGTATCTGTGCGTTCATCGAAGTTGTTGGTATCTTAGGGGGCCTTGCTGTGTTGCATAGACTGGCCAGTTCTTAGCTCAAAGGATGTTTCTGCCTCAGCCTCGGGAGACTTTACTACAGTCTGTGAACCAGACACTATATCACTGTCTCCTGTGGGTAACGTCATTATCTCTGCTCAGTTCTTTCCTTTAGACTTTGTGAATGAGCCAGGCACAGTGCCATGTGACTGTTATCTCAGCACTTGGGAGGCAGAACAGGAAGATCGTGTCTACTTAGCGAGTTCCAGGACAGTCAGGGTTTTGTAGTGAACCCAATCCCCCAAAACAATCATTGAAGAAATGGTATTAGTGCTCATGGTAGCTCATGTTTATGCTTAAAAAATAAGAGAAGATAAGACTTATTATTCTACTCTTTGTGTGTTGTCTGTGTGCACTTGTGTGTTGTGAGCATAAGTGTGTGTGGAGGAATCTGGGGATTGAATTCATGTTGAACTGTCTCATAAATGCAAGAGAAAAGTTATTTATTTATTTAACTTGTTTTTCAAAACAGGGTTTTTCTGTGTAGCCTTGGCTGTCCTAGAACTCTGTAGACTAGGTTGAACTCACGGAGATCTGCCTGTCTCTTTCCTGAGTGCTGGGATTAAAGGCGTGCTCCACTGTCTTTCCCTGACAATACATACATTTTAATTGCCTGTAGATCATGCCTGTCTGTATGTGGATTTGTTTGTACTCAAGTGCAGGTACCCACAGAGTTCAAAATTGAATGTTGGATTCCCTGGCTGCTGGGAACTGAATCAAGTCTTCTGCAAGATCAGTATGATTTATTAACTGCCGAGCCATCTCTCCAGCCCTTAGAACATAGTTGTGAACGTATTATGAGCTAAAATCCTACCTATAGAAAGAATTCTTTATTTGCTTGATATGGTAGCAGTAGAAATGCCAGTAAAGAATTTGAATATCAGGAGGAATAGAAGTGCAGGCCGGGCAGTGATGACAAGCGCCTTTAATTCCCGCACTGGGGAGCAGAGGCAGAGGCCTTTAATTCATCTCTAAGAGTTCAAGGCCAACCTGGTCTACAGAGGGAGTTCCAGGACAACCAGGGCTACCTAGAGAAACCTGATCTTGAAAAAGCAGAAAAGAAATATGAGTGGTCAGTGGAAACCTCAATTCCCATAGCAGGCTGGGAAATAAAACAGTGAATTGCCAGACTGGGAAAATCCCCTTGGTGAACACATGATATTTGTACATTGTTGGTGAACAGGGTGACTATCAGCTAATTACAAAGTAAGTAGTTTGGGGCTTCTGACTCCTCGCTGTAGTCCAGCACTTTGGAGATCGAGGCAAGAAAATTAGCTTGAGTTTAAAGCCTATCTTGGCTTTAGAGTGAGTCCCTGTTTGAAAATCAGTAAGAGATGGTTAAGAACACTTGCCTCTCTTCCATAGCACCTGAGTTTGGGGGACTCCAGTCCCAAAGATTCTAGTCCCCTCGTCTGGACTCCAAGGGTACCCACAGATATGTGGCATACTCTTATATACTCTTCTTTTTGAGACAGGGTTTCTCTGTAGTTTTGCAGCCTGTCCTGGAACTTGCATTGGAGACCAGGCAAGAGATCCACCTGTCTCTGCCTCCTGAGTGCTGGGATTAAAGGTTTGCACCACCACCACCACCCAGTTCTTATATACTCTTAAAAAATAATCTTAAAAAGTAAAACTGTATGGAGAGAACTTGTGTTCAATTCCCAGTACCCACATTGTGGCTTTCAGCCTCCTGAACCTCTAGTTCTGGATGATCTGGTGCTTTTCCCTGCCCTCCATGGGCACCGAGCATGTACATAGTGCACAGACATACAAGCAAGCAAACACTCATACACATAAGATAGTAAAATAAACCCCAAGCTACACATATACAAATACATATATAATATATAGTATTTTATATACATAGTTATTAAGTTCACTTTTGGGATTCTATCCTAGCTGTAAATATCGAAATGTATGATAAATGTGCAGCGTTTATTGTATAATTGCTTACAGAATTAGCCGTTTGACGCTAACCTGAGTGAGTCATGTGCATACATGTTTCATACACTGTGGCACAGCTGTTGTGAAGAGTGAGTCTCACTGGGCTGTATTTATTTATTTATTTATTTAAGATTTCTGCCTCCTCCCCGCCACCTTCTCCCCTTTCCCTCCTCCTCCCCCGATCAAGTCCTCCTCCCTTGTCAGCCCAAAGAGCAATCAGGGTTCCCTGCCCTGTGGGAAGTCCAAGGAACACCCACCTCCATCCAGGTCTAGTAAGGTGAGCATCCAAACTGCCTAGGCTCCCACCAAGCCAGTACGTGCAGTAGGATCAAAAACCCATTGCCATTGTTCTTGGGGTCTCAATAGTCCTCATTGTCCACTATGTTCAGCGAGTCCGGTTTTATTCCAGGCTTTTTCAGACCCAGGCCAGCTGGCCTTGGTGAGTTCCCGATAGAACATCCCCATTGTCTCAGTGTGTGGGTGCACCCCTCGTGGTCCTGAGTTCCTTGCTCATGCTCTCTCTCCTTCTGCTCCTGATTTGGACCTTGAGATTTCAGTCCGGTGCTCCAATGTGGGTCTCTGTCTCTGTCTCCTTTCATCGCCTGATGAAGGTTAATATTCAGGAGGATGCCTATATGTTTTTCTTTGGGTTCTCCTTCTTATTTAGCTTCTCTAAGAACCCGAATTATAGGCTCAATGTCCTTTATTTATGGCTAGAAACCAAATATGAGTGAGTACATCCCATGTTCCTCTTTTTGGGTCTGGCTTACCTCACTCAGGATGGTGTTTTCTATTTCCATCCATTTGCCTGCAAACTTCAAGAAGTCCTTGTTTTTTACTGCTGAGTAGTACTCTAATATGTATATATTCCATACTTTCTTCATCCATTCTTCCATTGAAGGGCATCTAGGTTGTTTCCAGGTTCTGGCTATTACAAACAATGCTGCTATGAACATAGTTGAGCATATACTTTTGTTGTATGATAGGGCATCTCTTGGGTATATTCCCAAGAGTGGTATTGCTGGGTCCAGGGGTAGGTTGATCCCGAATTTCCTGAGAAACCTCCACACTGCTTTCCAGAGTGGTTGCACAAGTTTGCATTCCCACCAGCAATGGATGAGTGTACCCCTTTCTCCACAACCTCTCCAGCAAAGGCTATCATTGGTGTTTTTTTATTTTAGCCATTCTGACAGGTGTAAGATGGTATCTTAAAGATGTCTTGATTTGCATTTCCCTGATTGCTAAGGAAGTTGAGCATGACCTTAAGTGTACTGGGCTGTGTTTAACGTGACTTACTGGTGGGAGAAAGTCAGGAAGGATTATGTTCTCTTTTTTAAGAACTAGGTAGGTAGACAGAAGGAAGTATGCAGGCGCATCAGTATATCCATTGCTTATGTATGTGCATAGATATTTGCCTGTATGGGTGAAATACAGATCCCAGGCTGTTGACATTGCCCACCCGTGGAGAATGGGTTGGAATGGGAGGCTTTATTGTCAATGAGAGTGGTGGGCTTTCTTCTAGACCTCTTAACTTTTTTACCTGGTATTAAATTATCTGAATAAAACTTCTGGATTATAGTAAGTAAAATAATAAGATATCCCCAAATCTATTAAATATCCATTTGTAAATGACCTTGGTAAATTCTATAAAGTAGGTTAAATTGAGTTCCTTCTATACATACTTATTCAGAACCTCTTTTTAAAAATCTTGCATAATGTATTTTCAAGTTAATATTTTTTCATATAGCATAATTTGTCATGGCTGAATTTAAATTATTTCCAGTTTGTATTACTTTAAACTATTGTAGATTAGCAGCAAAGTAATTAGTATCACATCTTTAATTTTTCCTTAAACTATATAATGAAAACTAGAATTGCGTGAATGGTGTGGATGGGAGGGGCCAGAGCCTGTGGTGTGCATGTGTGAGGTCAGAGGGCAGCTCTGTGCTGGTTCCTCCAGCCTTCACCTGGGTTCCAGAGATGGCATGGGCCCGGCTTGTGCCCTGAGGATCTTTAGCCTCTGAATCGTCCCGCTGGCCCTTTTCCTTTTTCTGTGTGTAGTAAGTATATATATGTGTGTGTGCACGTACATGCAAGATCATATGTGCACATGTGAGTGTGGAAGCCAGAGGACGTCTTCCTCCATGTTCTCTGCTCCGACATCTGTTCACACGCACCAATGAAAGGCATTGAAAGAAGAATAATGACGTGAGGGTTGTGGATGTAGCTCTGGTAGGTGCTCATAGGAACCACGGGACACTTGGTTTGATCCCCAGAACTGCACAAACCTGGTGGAGGATAGATGCCTGAGACAGGAGGATCAGAAGTGTAAGGTCATCTTTTTACCTTAATGGGCAGCCTAGGCTACAGGAGACTTTATCTCAAAAGTAAGAAAGTCTAAACTAAAACTAACCTCAATGAAACCAAAGCTGGTGATTCAGACTGCAGCTGAAACAGTCATCAGTATCTTTGCTCACACAGCAGAGGAGCTTCACGGGTATTTCATGCTTAGTCACACAGTATGCTAGACAGTACTTGGGCTGAGATGTAGTAAAGTAGGTAATTTTTAACAGGTAAGAGCACAGGTAAGTGCGTAAAACTCCCTATACTCTGCCATTTCTTTGCCTTTCCAATGCCAAGAGGCGCCTTGTGAAGAACCTGGTGACGATTTGGGTTTGGAGCCTTGCTATTGATGAGCCATCTCAGCCCTCTCCATTCCCACTGTCTGCTGCAGGGTTGGACTGGTCTGAGGAGAGCGGAGAAGAGCCGGAGGACTCCGATCAGGCCTCACCGTACCAGGTCGCATGGTCCATCCGAGAAACACTCAGATATGAAAGACACACGTGAGTTTCCCTTTGTTTTCCTCTGTGGGTGTGTAGCAGTTCGCCTGTCTTCCTGTCTGTGTCAGTGTCTTTATTTAATTTTACTGTGCTATACTTAGGTATAGTCAGGCAAAGTTAGAGTTAGTTCATTTTGGGAAGAAATGGATTATATTGTTTGAACAAAGTTAATTTTGAGTTTTTCTTGCTAAATTCGTTTCCCTGTTTTTCCCATTCACCAATGAGTGCAGTTTAATATAATAGAATTGAAAGGGATCTTAGAGAGTATCTGGTGCAATTCCATAAGAGTGGACCACATACCCAGAGGCTAAAGAACTTGATCACTGAGGGCTACCTAGAGTCTCACTGTGCTTCTTAACTGGTAGTTAGAAATAGTGTTTGTTTATTTGTTTGCTTGTTTGTTTTGAGACAGGGTCTCTAACCTTGGCTGACCTGGAGCTCTCAGTGGCCCAGGTTGCCTTGAACTTGACTTCCTGTTTCTGCCTCCTGAGCAGAGGCCCTGCAAAGTACTGCGTTTCTATCTCACTCTCTTCTGCAGGATTACCATGTGTGATGCTTTTCTTGTGCTAAGTGCTTCTGGAGGTGACTCTTTAGTTCAGCTCACCTCCTCAAAAACTGGCTCAGTGTTTTTATAGTCCTCTTTAGTGTTTTCCCAGTATGTTTTATAAAGAAGGTATTTGTCAAGGGTCTGTGGATAATGAATGTTCGTTTTCTTTGTAATAATATTACAAAAATTTAGTGACAACTTTAGCAATATAAAGAGTTAGTGCATTGTGAGCACATCATGTGACATCTTTTTTTGGCAGGGCCAGAAGATATTGCTCAGCACCTGAGCTAATCATTTAGTTAAAAATTTGGGATTTAGTCGGGCGGTGGTGGCGCACGCCTTTAATCCCAACACTTGGGAGGCAGAAGCGCATGAATCTCTGTGAGTTGGCCAGCCTGGTCTACAAGAGGTAGTTCCAGGACAGGCTCCAAAGCTACAGAGAAACCGTTCTTTCTCAAAAAACAAACAAAACAAAACAAAACAAAAATTTGGGATTTACATAAATACCCAACAAAATAGAGGCCACCTCATTTGACTCTGATCCTGTAGGTGAATTTTTCTATCCCTCTTGTTAGCTCCCAAATCCTGATATGGAGACTTTTATTAACTATGAAAGCTCTGCCAATAGCTTAGGCTTATTTTTAACTAGCCCTTATAACTTGACCCATTTCCGTTAATTTATGCGATTAAAACGTAACCCATTTCCATTAATTTACATGCTGCCATGTGGCTCATGGCTTGTTACCTCATCTGCATATCCTGTTTCTTCTGTATCTCTGGCTGTTGACTCTCTGTGTCTCCACCCTATTCCCCCGCATCTTCTCTGCTTCCAGAATCCTGACTATTAACTGTTCAGCTTTTCATGAAACCAATCCTAGTGTCAAATCTAGTGTGCAGAAAGATTGTTCCACAACATTTCCTCCTTTTTTTCTAAATAGAAAGGAAAGGTTTTTTAACATAATGAAACTATAAATGCTAAGAACAATTATCAGGTAAGAACTATATTTATGGTATCCAGTCTATTTGTATTTGGCATATTTGAAGAAAATATTTCATTATTCTATCTTGACGAGTCAAGCTCTGTACCTAATTTACCTTCTATCATAACTAAGGAAATCTATAATTAAGACTGTCTAGTCTTCAACTCTATCAAAGACCCCAGAAGGATATGGTGTTACCTTAGTAAAGAGGAAGTGCACTGCAAACAACTTCCAAAACTGAAAGAAATGACAGAGACATCTGGCTGCCTGTTCAGTCACCCCAGGGTTCCTCTGCAATGTTATGGTATCCATTTTTGGCCTAGAGGCCTAGAATATCTGACAGACTATTTTGAGAAGCAGTAATTTTGAAGGACTGTCCTACCTTGTATTGGCAAATTTCGGCAGTCACCTTTTGCATCCTGTTTGTTCGATTTGCACAGCATACTGTCAACATTTGAGGCAAGGGCAGTTTCTTGCCCAGTAGCTGACTTTGTCACACACACACAAACAAAAGCAAACTCCATATGGAGGGTCTTCAGTGCCTTTTTGAAGTAAATTGGTGCTGCTAGGAGCATATGTGTCTCATTGTCATGAAAAGCTTTGTTATTAAAACATTTTATTTTACGATTTATTTATTATATATAATATATATTTTATATAATATATATATATATATAATGCTTCGCCTGCATGCCAGAAGAGAGCACCGGGATCTCATTACAGATGGTTGTGAGCCACCATGTGGTTGCTGG